TACAGCTTAAGAAGGTACTTGGTTGATACCTAGGACACTGGTAGCAACCTGTATCAACCATTAGCACCAGTCAATGGTATTTGTGATGCATTTTTGAATGTTCAGTTGACTTGAGTTTCATGTTTAATGAATAAAGTATATCATAATAATTTAACACCCTCAAACAACAACATCTACCTATCCCCAGTCCTTGGGCAGGACTCGGAAGATAAAAAGCCCAAATTCAATCTAAACATCTGGTTGACTGAGCGACGAACTATAATTTATTAAATATTGATACTGCCTGAATATCAACAATTCTATTAGTTATCGATTTATATGCCCCATTCTGGGTTGGGTATCATTTCTCCCAATCTTAAACAAATGGACTATATTTGCACTTTCAAACAAAAATAGAGATATTTTTTTTCTTCCTGTCCTGGAAAATGATTTTTTCAAAGAAAAAGGGATCATTATATATATGTTTAGATCTATTTTTTTTTCTTTTCCTGCCCTTAAAGTGTCTTTTTGAGACTGCAGGCAATCATAGAAAGATCACCAAAATGATTAGTAGTTATTGATAGCTGGATCCTCCTGGCTTTTACTTCTTCCAGGTTGTTAGGCTGTTAGCTATCTTGTGGCCATGAGTTTCACAGTTCAATATCTCAGGGTGAAAAGCGCACAAAATCTCCCATGATTCAGTCTTATTGGACAATCTGGGGTGCACATATTCTCCATTCTCCATGTGATAGATAATTTTATCCATGTTTTAATCTCTTTTCTTCACTCTCTCTTTATGGAACCGATTGTGGGAAAGCGCTATTTCTAAACCGAATCTGCATTGTAGCCACTTTAGACAACGTAATTTGGCTTTCGGTATTAAGCAAGACAATATGGAAAATGAATTTAAGAGCTTTTTTAAAAAAGAAATATTTTTTACGCTCCAATGTTTATTGTCTCCGAGCCATTTCTTGTTCTTTAAATGCTTGACGGGATTGTAGTGAAATTAACTCGCTGTAAAGTATGTTATTTCCCTCTCTCTTTAAAGTGGAACTTGGCTCACTTTATAGGGTTTGAAAAATGTCCAAATTGCAATCTCACAGTTTCTGGAAAATGTTCCCTAAACAACGCGCCCTTTGATGTAGTGAGTCACAATTTGGAAGTTGTACACCTTTAAAAAAACCAGTTTGCCAACCCTGTCACGGACTTCACAAGAAACAAGCATACATTTTTTTGAATGCAATATTTAGGATGATGGAATAAGGACACCATGTTGTTGTTGTTTTTAATTTAATTTAATTCCCCCCTATCTTTATTATTTTTTACAAATAACTCAAGGCGGCAGACACAACTTCCTATTCCTATTTTCTCCACAATAACAACCCTTGAGATGGATTGGGGTTGAGAAAGAATGACCGACCCAAAGTCATCCAGCCAGCTCACTTGCCTGAAGCAGAACTAGAACTCACTGTCTCCTGGCAATTGGCCCAAAGTCACCCAACTGGCTTGCATGTATAAGGCGAGACTAGAACTCACACTCTCCTGGTGATAGACCCAAAGTCATCCAGCCAGCTTTTGTGCCTAAGATAGGACAAGAACTCACTGTCTCCTGGTGATTGGCACTCAGAGTCATCCAGCCAGCTTTTATACTGAAGATGGGACTAGAACTCATGGTCGCCTTGTTTCTCTCCTGGTGCCTTAACTGCTAGACCAAACTGCCTCTCTTTATGCATCCTTATTGGGAAACTAGCAAATGGGCCTTAGTTTAAAAGACACCTCCACACCTACATTCGAAATATTATCGTACCTTAAAGACAGAGAGAGAGAAAGAAAGAGATTTAGTTGGAGACGCTCAGGAATCACAATTAGTTAATTGTGCATTTAATTAGAACCGGATTGCAATCTGTTAAAAATATCGGTGGGATCCTAACCTTATTAGCTGCTAAGATGCTCCTCAAATTATCATTTTGCTATTATGACAGGTAACCCTGGACTTACGGACCACAATGGACTCCCCAAATTTCTGTAGCTAAGCGAAGCATGTGTTAAGTGAGTTTTGCCCCATTTTACGACCTTCCTTGCCACCGTTGTTAAGTGAATGACTGCAGTGGTTAAGTTATTGACGCGCCTGTGAAGTGAATCTGGTTTCTCCCATTGACTTTGCTTGTCAGTAGGTCGCAAAACCTCATCGCATGACCCCGGGACACTGCCACCGTCATAAATATGAACCAGTTGCCAAGCGCCCGAATTTGGATCACGGCGAGGCTGCGACAGTCGTTAAGTGTGAAAAATGCTCACCAGCCCCCTTTTTCCCCCAGTGCCATTGTCACTTCGAATGGCCGCTAAATGAACCATTGTAAGTCTAGGACTGGGTCTGCTAGACCCTGATGTAAAAATCTTAACTGAGCGTGGAAATTCTTCGGAGCTCTGCGTCAAGATTTGGGGGTCCCTGCGGAGGGGACACAGGGACCCCCACAAAAAAATGCTAAGATGGTTATCGCCACTGCTCTATTGTAGCCTTGTTCCCTTTTTGGTATGCATCACAAATGTGTTGCAAATGTTTTTTCTCATGGTTTTGTCCCCCATGGTGGCAGCTACCATCATGACTTTTTTTAAAGAATAGAATAGAATAGAATAGAATAGAATAGTTGAAAGGGACCTTGGAGGTCTTCTAGTCCAACCCCCTGCTTAGGCAGGAAACCCTACACCACTTCAGACAAATGTTTATCTAATCTCTTCTTTAAAACTTCCAGTGTTGGAGCATTTACAACTTCTGGTGGCAAGCAGTTCCACTGATTAATTGTTGGAATTATCAGGAAATTTCTTCTTAGTTCTAGGCTGCTTTTCTCCTTGATTAGTTTTCACCCATTGTTTCTTGTCCTACTGTCAGGTGCTTTGGAGAATAGCTTGACTCCCTCTTCTTTGGGGCAGCCCCTGAAATATGGGAAGACTGCTATCCTGTCTCCCCTAGCCCTTCTTTTCATAAGACCTACCCAGTTCCTGCAACCGTTCTTCATATGTTTCAGCCTCCAATCCCCTAATCATTTTTGTTGCTCTTCTCTGCACCCTTTCTAGAGTCTCAACATCTTTACTTGATCATGATTTTAGGGACACCTACCCCAACCTTTTGCCCTCCCTGCTGAGACTTAGTCCTTTAAACTCCTTCCCAAAGCGATACGCAGATCGTCCTCGACTTAACCAGCATTTAACGTCCATACGAAGTTACCACAGCGCTGACAAAAGCGACTTAACAGCTGTTTCCTCGTACTTACAACTATTGCAGCCTCCCTGTTTATTTTTATTTATTTGATTTATATTGCCACCTATTCGCCCCTGGCGACGCGAGGCAGCTTGCACAATGTAAAAACCATATTTAAAACCAAAAAATAAAAATAAAATATTATGATTATTGATTTATTTATTTGTCAAAAGCTTACAGAAACAAGAATAAACATAAGTTTAAATACAAGAAATAGGGACTAATAATTGGGGACAATAGGACAGAGACGGTAGGCATGATGGTGCGCTTATGCACGCCCCTTACAGACCTCTTAGGAATGGGGTGAGGTCAATAGTGGATAGTTTGAGTGTAAAGGAGTCGGGGTTTGAGCAGGTGACAACAGAATCAGGTCACACGATCAAAATTTCAGGCACTTGGCAACCCGGTATGTATTCACAACATTTTGCAGGTCTTAAGATCGTGTGAGTGTGTGTGTGTATGTCATTTTCCACCTTCCCAGCCGGCTTCCAACAAGCAAAGTCAACAAGGTTTGCTTCACAACACCGTGATTCTCTTTAACAACTTGCAGCGATTTGCTTAACAATCGTGGCCAAAACAAAGGTCATAAACCTGGCCTTAATTTACTCCACAACCGCCTCACTTAGCAATGGAAATTCTACTCCCGACGGCTGTCGTAAATTGAGGACTAACCTGTATGGATTATATACATATATATATTTTGGTCAGGATCTTCGCATGCCTCAGTCACGTGTGAGCGATCTTGTCAGTTTTTTTCTGTGAAAGCCTTGGCAGTGTTGGCCGTTGGTGCGACAGCAGCATCTTTAGTTTAGTTTAGTTTTAGTTTAGTTTACTTTATTTGAAATCAAACACCATCTTCTGTGCCACATCATGACCATGAAAATAAACACAAACACTCGTGCTTCACACTCCACGCATTGAACCGAAAACCCCTGACACCGCACCATCTTCATAATAATAGAATGAGAGAGTTGGAAGGGTCTAATCAACAAACCCAGGGGAGAACCAGTCTGGAACTAAGGAGAAATTTCCTGACGTTGACAACAATCAATCATTAGAATAGCTTGCCTTCAGGAATTGTCGATGTTCCAACAGCAGAGGTTTTGAAGAAGAGACTGCACAGCCCAGAATTGTATACTGTCTTCTGTTGAACAGTTGAGTGTATTAGATTCAAAGACCTCCAAGGTCCTTTCCAACCCTATATAACAGACTAACAGAGTTGAAAGGGACCCTGGAGGTCTTCTAGTCCAACCTCCTGCACAAGCAGGAAACCCGATACCATTTAGGACAAACGGTTGTCCAATCTCTTCTTGAAAACCTCCAGTGTTGGAGCATCCGCAACTTCTGGAGGTAAGCAGTTCCAATGGTTAATTGTTCTACTATTAACTGTCAGGAAAATCCTCCTTAGTTCTAGGTTGCTTCTCTCCTTGATTAGTTTCCACCCGTTGCTTCTTGTCCTGCCTTCAGGCGCTTTTGCAGAATAGATTGACTCCCTCTTCTTTGGGGCAGCCCCAAAGACTGCAATCATGCCACCCTGAGTCCTTCTTTTCATTAAACTAGACCTATCCGATTCCTGCGACCGTCCGTCATGTGTCTTATCGTGCCCTCTCTTTTTCTCTTTTGGACCTCCCCAGGCCAGGCGTGGAAAGCCCTGAGCACCACCGACAAGCGCCCCTTCGTGGAGGAGGCCGAGATGCTCAGGATCCAGCACCTGCAGGACCACCCCAATTACAAGTACCGTCCCCGCCGGAAGAAGCAGGCCAAGAAAATCAAGAGGATGGAACCGAGCATCCTTCTCCACAACCTGCCACAGCCCTGCGGCGAGAATTTCGCCATGGGCCACCGCGGGGCCTCCAGTGGCATCAGCCACTCCCAGCCTCCGCCACTGAACCACTTCCGGGAACTGCGCTCCATGGGGTCAGAGATGGAGAACTACGGCCTCCCGACCCCGGAGATGTCCCCTCTGGATGTCCTAGAACAGGCGGAGCCTGCCTTTTTCCCGCCTCACATGCAGGACGACTGCAATGTGATGTCCTTTCGTGGGTACCACCCACCTCCTCCTCCTCCGCCGCCGCCGATGGAGTTTTCCCCGGAAAAAAACCTGGGGAGGAACATGGTCATGGGGTACCCCCCCAACCCGCCCTCCCACCTGGCCGAAGCCATGAGGACTCCCCACCCGTCTGGGATGTACTACAACCAGATCTGCGCCGCGGGAGCCGCCAACGGGCTGTCGGCCCACCTGGGCCAGCTCTCCCCTCCTCCTGAATCGCACCAGCTGGACGGCGTGGAGCACTTGAACCCCAACGAGCTGTGGACAGAAGTGGACCGCAACGAGTTCGACCAGTATTTGAATATGAGCAGGACTCGTCCGGATCCTTCGGGCTTCGCCTACCACGTTTCCATGTCCAAAGTGACTCCGCGGAGCTGTGAGGACAACAGCCTCATCTCCGCCTTGTCCGACGCGAGCAGCGCTGTTTATTACAGCACCTGTATCACCGGGTAAACATTGAATTGAGGGAGAGGTTTGGGGCAGCCCCCACAAGCCGGGGGGGCGGGAACCGCTGTCTCCTCAGGGGCGCTGGGAAGTTCGAGCGGACGGGACATGCTCCGGATGGCTGCCGTTCAGTTTCCCGGGACTCCTTGGGGAAAGCTAGGACGGCGAACCCAGTATGAATGGGAGAGGAGATTGGGGCGCAGGCGTATAAGTAGTCCTTGAGTTACAACCACTTATTTAGCATCCATCCCGACGGCACTGCAAAAAAAGGTGACTCATGACTGGTCCTCGCACTTATGACTGTCGTCCCCGTCATGTGATCGCTTGGCAAGTGGCATGTATTTAACTGCCGCTGTTTGCAACCTTCCCCTCCGGCTCCTGACAACAAAGTCAATGGGGCAAGTCGGATTTGTTTAATGACCACTCGAATCACTTAACAGCTGCAGGGATTCACTAACCACTGGGGCAAAAAAGAAAAAAAAAAAAGGCCATACAATCGGGAGTGATTTGCTTACTGCTGCCTTGTTTAACAGTGGAAATCTTGGCCTCCCTTGTGGTTGTAAGTCGAGGATTACCTGCGTCCATTTAGATCAGGGCTTCCCAAACTTGACAACTTTAAGACTTGTGGACTTCAACTCCCAGAATTCTCCAGCCAGCTATAGCATTCTGGGAGTTGAAGTCCACAAGTCTTAAAGTTGCCAAGTTTGGAAGCCTCTGGTTTCGATAAATGTAGGCCACACAGATGCTAATGCTTTGCTCCAGAGAGGAAGAGGTGAGTTTGCTCTTTGCACGGGTTGTGAGGCTTCGAGCCGTGGAGAAGGAGACGGGGCTCAGCTGGCTGTGGAGTAGCTGAGGAGTAAAGTTCCTACAAGGAGCTCGGAACAAATTTTGTACAAAAAAAATATCTCACCATTTTAAAAAAGGCTTCAGCTTAATTCTATAAAGGAGCAGAGAAAGGGCCGCCTCACATATTACAAACCTTTAAATATCAGGCTTTTAAAGATCAGCTTATCAGACAGAAGTGTCCACCCGACCAAGGACTTCGTATTGGCCTCTGTAGTAACTACAGATGTAGTAATATTGGGATATGTAATAATTCAGGGTCCTTCGCGTCGTCTCCTTCCAATAAGATCATGGGTAGGCAAGCTAGTTTTCTTGCCATGTCATGTGTTGAATCACCTCTTGGTCTCCTTTACACACTTGCTGCAAAGATCAAAGCAAGCCCTCTGCTCTTTTTATGTTACAGTAGTCCTTGACTTATGACCACATTTGAGTGCAAAAGTTCAGTTGCTAATCACTACACCTGCTGAATGGGTCACACCATGGCAACTTCAAAATGGCCATTAAACGAATCGTTGTAAGTCGAGGGCTACATGCACCTGGCCACCGACAGGCGGGGAAATTCTCCTCTCCAAGGAAAGTAAGAACATGCCCCATTGCAATCTTAGTCCACCCCATGTGCCTCCCCAAACCATGCGTCTGGTTGCCCCAAACCTCTCCTTTGATCTGTAAACCCTGCATTATTTTAAACTATCTCATTAATGGCATTGCTTTTCTTTTTTTAAAAAAAACAAACCAACAAATAAGGCTGAAAAACTGATATACTGTATTGCTGTGTAGCACAAGGAGATGGTTCAAAACAGAAGGAAAATGCAATTTTAAGGTGCTATATATTCTGGACGGGGGTACCTGTTGCTGGGTTTTTGCAGGTAAAGGTAGGGAAGGAATTCAGGCAGGTACTTATTGAGCTAATCATGAATAATCTTCATTGTGGACTTTAACTCCCAGAATTCCCCAGCCAGCATCACTGGGAATTTTGGGAGTTGAAGTCCACAGGTCTTAAAAGTCTTAAAAGTCTAGAAACCTCATTTAGTATGAGGTCAATTCAGTATTAGAGCAAACAGTATTTACTGAATTCCTCTCCCACTATGTAGAAGATATCCAGTATTAAATTACCTGCGCCAGTCCCGCCTCTGCTGAAAAATTGAAAAAGGTTTGTTTTCAAGGGTTTTAACCATGGTTTCTAAATCGAGATAAACCCCAGCCTGGTTTGGCCCCAAAGATAAGTTTCAGTAGAAGGACTAGATTTTGAAATGGCGATACTTGGATCTGAACAAGATCCACAGAGTTTGGGCCATTGGAGAAATCAGTGTGGCAGTTTGAAAAGGCTGCGTTTCCAAAATTCAGAGTTAGTCTCCTGCAGGGAATCAACAGTGAAAGAAAGCTAAGCTTGGAATGCGTGATTTCTTGCGATGAACGCATTAAATCGCTGGGATGTTCCATGAGGCTCGACATCGGAGGGGATAAAACTGAGAAGAACGTAGCCGTAGGTGATTAAAAGTGTGAAGAAGGGGAAGTGTTGGAAAAGTTGTAAGAAAAGGCAAGAGGCTCGCTGGATTATGACCATTTACTTGGCTCTTAATCCATGGAATTTCAGAGTTATGGGAACCGCGAGGGTCATCTAGTCCAGCCCTATGCAACAGGAAGGAAATGCATTGTAGCTTCTCGCTGTTTTTTTCTTCCTGTTTTGCAATTCCTGGAGTGCAATTCTAGGCAGGTGTAGAATTTATTCCACAGGTTTTTGTTACTTGTAGCTGAAAAACCCCACTTAAATGACTGGCAGAAGAGATTTGGGAGGGTGAGGGGTAAACTGAGGGCAGGTCTCTTTAGTCTGCAAAGCTTCAGCCTGTGTGGATTTGAACCCTTGGCTAATTGCTGAGTGTGTGTGGGGGGCATATATTTGGAGCTGATGTTTTAATTTAAAGCAATGTTTCTTAATTGTAGCAACTTGGAAGATACGTGGACTTCAACTCCCAGAATTCCCCAGCCAGCTATGACTGGCTGGGGAATTCTGGGAGATGAAGTTCGTGCATCTTCAAGTTGGCATGGTTGAAAAACGCTGCTTTAAACCCGAATTTTAAAGCCAGACAGATGTTTTTGACTATCAATCTTAGCCTTGCAACGTTATTTTCCCTGCAAAGTGTGAGCTGGGTGTGCGGCGCAGTGGTTAGAGGGCAATACGGCAAACTACTACTGCAATTTGGCAGATCGAATCCCACCAGGCTCAAGGTTGACTCAGCCTTTCGTCCTTCCGAGGTCGGTAAAAGGAGGAGCCAGATTGTTGGGGGCCATAGGCTGACTCTCTAAACCACTTAGAGAGGGCTGTAAAAGCACTATAAAGTGGTATATAAGTCTTAAGTGCTATTGCTATTGCTATTCTGTGTGTAAAGCGCCACCACACACACACACACACACACACACACACACACACACAGAGTTTCAAATCCTTAAAGGATATAAACCTGGTCCAAAATGGAACCATAACCCCATTTTGAATGTTAGCCAAAAACTGCACCCATGCATGAAAAGTGTGCATTTCAATCTTTAAAACGCACAAAGTCTCCATTCATAACTGAACGATGCAAGTGTTAAAATCCAGAACAAGCCTTTTTCAATGTTCTATATTAAGGGAGCGGGAAAATTTCAGGCTGCCCCTTACCATTTATTTCCCACCGTTATCAGAGCATTCTCTTTGGTTTGGACAAATCTATATTTTTTAACTAAGCTTTTTTAGAAAAAAACCAAAAAACAAAAATTATCTATCTATAAATAATATTTAAGCTGTTCAGGCATTTTATACTACGTCTGTCTCTCTTTTGTAATCGATGAAAGGATAGTCACAGTGTTGAAAAGCACCTATGTAGCAAATAACGAGGCTCATCGGAAGAAGAAGAAGCAGCTCTTAAGCTGCGCGGGATCAAATCCTCTGGACTTTTGGGGTTCGCAGGGGGGAGAAACGACAGCGGCCCTGCGAAATCCCCAGCAAGAGTTTCGAACGATCCCTACTTGTGTATTTACCTACAGCATCGCATGGACACATGTTGGGAGTATCGGACTGAATCTAGCGCTTGTTTTCGCTGCCTGGTTAATTATTAGAACATCTTTTCCTAATTGCACGGACTCTCATGCGCTTGTGATGCGAACACATGTTCTGGTTTCTCCACCACCACCCCAACCGATGCTGCCGCCAAATGTTTCCAGATTTTCTTTCTGGCAGCCGATCCGTGTTGAGTCTCTCCGCGTTGGCTTCGTGGGAAACTCCCCCACCAAGAGACGCTGTCAGCGATACGAAAGGACTGGCACTTCAAACCCAGGGGATGATTTTTTTCAAAATATATATACAGTATATATATATATATACATATATATATATACGGAAGGGTCTGTTCTCATCATGGGAAACCTCGAATAAAACACCGTGATATTCTTTTCTTACCAGCATGTCTGGGTGTGTGGTTTTTCGGGCCCGTTCTGTGCAAATGCTGTTTGACTTTACTAGGTTTTTCTCAGAGGGGGGGTGCTGGCAGGGGTGTGTGATCTGCCCCCCCTTCCCCCCCCCAAGGAGGTTCTTGGGGGGTCTTCAGGAACTGATCCGTTGGGTTGGGTTACAAATACGGCCGCTTGCTTGCATGCATGCGTGTTGTGTTTTCTTTCTAACATGTTACAGGAATTCGGATGACGTTAAAAGAAGCTGGTTTTAAGCCAAGCATGTGTGTGTGTCTGTGTGTGTGTGCATGTGTGCGTGTGCTCACCATCGCAGCGTTGTGTGCTCGTACCTGTGTTTAATTTTATAATCGGGTGGGGGGTGCTGCAGAAAGCCTGACTGTATTTCTAAATCAAGGCTGGGGGGTGGGTTGGTTGGGGGTTTTTTTCTTGCAAAAGCCCCTGTAGCATCCCTGGGAATAATGCACAGGTAACCCTCGACTTACAACCTCAATGGGGATCTGAATTCCCCTTGCTAAGCAAGGCAGTTCAATCAGAATAGAGCTGGAAAGGAACCCTGGAGGTCATCTAGTCCAGGGGTTGCCAACCTTTTGGATCTCAGGGACCACCAAATCATAATTTTAAATCCCGCGGACCAGAGACCCTGGGAAAATCCCCCCAAAAGAAAAGGAAAATTCCCTACCCCGTTTTCCTACCGA